TCTCTCTCTCTCTTTGCTCTCTCTCTCTCTCTCTCTTTGCTCTCTCTCTCTCTCTCTCTTTGCTCTCTCTCTCTCTCTCTCTTTGCTCTCTCTCTCTCTCTCTCTTTGCTCTCTCTCTCTCTCTCTCTTTGCTCTCTCTCTCTCTCTCTCTTTGCTCTCTCTCTCTCTCTCTCTTTGCTCTCTCTCTCTCTCTCTCTTTGCTCTCTCTCTCTCTCTCTCTTTGCTCTCTCTCTCTCTCTCTCTTTGCTCTCTCTCTCTCTCTCTCTTTGCTCTCTCTCTCTCTCTCTCTTTGCTCTCTCTCTCTCTCTCTCTTTGCTCTCTCTCTCTCTCTCTCTTTGCTCTCTCTCTCTCTCTCTCTTTGCTCTCTCTCTCTCTCTCTCTTTGCTCTCTCTCTCTCTCTCTCTTTGCTCTCTCTCTCTCTCTCTTTGCTCTCTCTCTCTCTCTCTTTGCTCTCTCTCTCTCTCTCTTTGCTCTCTCTCTCTCTCTCTTTGCTCTCTCTCTCTCTCTCTTTGCTCTCTCTCTCTCTCTCTTTGCTCTCTCTCTCTCTCTCTTTGCTCTCTCTCTCTCTCTCTCTCTCTCTCTCTCGCTCTCTCTCTCTCTCTCTCTCTCTCTCTCTCTCTCTCTCTCTCTCTCTCTCTCTCTCTCTCTCTCTCTCTCTCTCTCTCTTTGCTCTCTCTCTCTTTGCTCTCTCTCTCTTTGCTCTCTCTCTCTCTTTGCTCTCTCTCTCTCTTTGCTCTCTCTCTCTCTTTGCTCTCTCTCTCTTTGCTCTCTCTCTCTCTCTCTCTCTCTCTCTCTCTCTCTCTCTCTCTCTCTCTCTCTCTCTCTCTCTCTCTCTCTCTCTCTTTGCTCTCTCTCTCTCTCTCTCTCTCTCTCTCTCTCTCTCTCTCTCTCTCTCTCTCTCTCTCTCTCTCTCTCTCTCTCTCTCTCTCTTTGCTCTCTCTCTCTCTCTCTTTGCTCTCTCTCTCTCTCTCTCTCTCTCTCTCTCTCTCTCTCTCTCTCTCTCTCTCTCTCTCTCTCTCTCTCTCTCTCTCTCTCTCTCTCTCTCTCTCTTAAATAACTCTAAAAATACATTTTCCCACCAATTCATATCGGGTAAGATCACATAGTCTACTAATTGACTCCATCTATGTGTAAAAACAATTAAACAAGTAAACTCACAGTGTGCATGTCACATATACGTGACACCCGGCAGGAATGGGTTAAACAAAATGTGAGCTTCACAATTTGACATCATACTGTATTGATATGCTGAAACAGTTATGATTCCACAATTGTGTAGTAAACAATTGAAGGAATTGCATTTGTATAACTTAACATTCTCTGCAGTTACTTAACCCCTTGCCGCCTGGGAAAATGAATAAAGAACGGGAAAAATGCTGTACTCATTTTTTATATTTTTGTGAAATATCTCTGTACATTGATGGCTCTGCTAGTCCTGATTTCACCTTTCCTTGAATTGACGGGAAAAAACATATTCTTACTAGTGCTATAAATATAGATGGTGTTATTTTTAACAGCAAATTAGGATAAATGTTAAATATTTTCGTAAATCAGTGAAAAGGGTGAACGGGCGAGACAGGCAGTACTCATAACTGGCTCACTGGTGACTTAGTATAAGTGCAGCCATGTGTGTGTAAAAACAATCAAACAAGTCGACTCACAGTGGGCATGGCATGTCCATGCATGCCATCCCCGTCGGCAAGGGGTTAATGTTCCACATTATTGGAAAGAAATTGTGACCTGCTTAAAGGCCAGAACCACAGAGTCTAATCACCCCCCAAGAGTTTTGTGCACTCATGGCACAAGAATTAATGTGAAGATTTTGCATATGGTCATAAGACCTGTATTATATTTTCTGTGTCCATTTTTGTGTCCTGGGCCTTTCTGTTTTAGTTTTTTCTAATAATCTGTATTAGTATTTCCTAGTTATTTGTTGATTTGTGTATTTTATTTGTTTATCAAAAATCTAGGAAAAAAATTATGAAGATTTAAGGTTTCACTTTCTTTTAGAGTACATCATGGCATCTCGCAAGAAGATTCTCCTGAAGGTCATCATCCTGGGAGACTCTGGTGTAGGCAAAACATCCCTTATGAACCAGTTTGTTAACAAGAAATTCAGCAACCAGTACAAGGCAACCATTGGGGCAGACTTCCTCACAAAGGAGGTTATGGTTGATGACAGATTGGTCACAATGCAGGTAAGTGAAAAGTCTTTGGCATACCAATAGGCTCCAAACTGTAAATATTCTCTTTACATTATCAGGTCTTTTATATCGTCATGCATTCCAGTCTTTTCTATTATTTTATAAGATTGTATACATATAACTCCCACGTTGTTATCTAGTCATTCCTTTGTTTGCCCACACCCATGCCTTTTCTTATTTCTCATTTACTGTTGGAAAAGTAAAATGAAAGACTTTTTCATTGCAGTAGGTAAAATTATAAATCTGAAACTTTGTTTGTTGATAATATATTCATAATTTACAGACATGAAATGGAC